AATGCAATATTATGTAGTGTGATACCTCAAATTTGTGTGTGCTTCATTCGTATCTGAATCATGACAGTAAAAACCTGACTATCTCCAGGGTGCATGTAATGAATCCCTGAAATGAGCTGAGCGACTAGGCCTGTTTAGATAGGATGATCAGATGCAAAGAGAGATCATGTTCATGAACTTCCCAGGGTTAGCCTGATGTAAAAAAATCCCATTTTGCAGTGGAACTGGAATATATAGTGGTTTAGTTTCAGCTGCCTTAAAATCAAGGATGCTTGGCACAGGACTCAAGATGTTGTGTTCTGTGTTTCTGTGGATACTCCCAATGCAATTAACGTTCCATAAATAATTATGCAAGGACCACAGAAACGTGTATTGCTTTTAAAGGAATCTGGCCTGAGATTGTGAAAAAATAAGTTTCCTAGTCCTCCTCTCTGCAGATTAAAAGTGTGGAAATATGTAGGCAGTGACCCATTGTAGGCATGAAAAGGACTGGCAAGTGTTCATGTGGTGGGATGGAGCAGCTTCTGTCTTCTCATCTCCTGTGATGAAGTGAGGTACTTGCTTCCCTTCCACCATGTCACATTTCTCTCCCCCACCCCACCATCCCCAAAATTAAGCAAGATCACACATGATGTTATTTGTGTGGTGGAAGAAAAGAGGGATGTACCCATTTCCCCACCAAGCAAAGTCTCTCAGTGCAGAGTTTAGAATTTCTTACTGGTTACTTTGTTGTTGTTGTTGTTGTTGTGTGTTTATTGAGTTTATATACTGCCCTATACCCAGAGGTCTTGGCGGTTCACAAAACAACTTTACAAGGAAAGAGAGCAGGACTGCAGCTTGCAAGTGTTTTTGTGCATCTTTTCCCACATCCATAAAGAAAGGAGCATTTAGCATTTTGTTGTCTTGTGCTCCTCAGAAGAAGGTCCAGTGTGCATTTTTCTCGATAAGAAGTTTCTACACCTCTGAGAATTAAAACAAAACAAAAAACTCTCAAAACTGGGAACAGCAATGAAGCTAAAGGAAAGTTCTTTGATATCATTTTACTGAGAACCAGTCCCCAGGAATTAGCATTCAGCATAGGATAATACATAAACACACACAGCTGCTGCTTGGGGGGGGGGATTCTGCCGCAGAACCACACCTGTTTCTATAAACTTTGTTAGGGCAGTAGAACTCCCCCCCCCCCGCCTTCCTTGAGATGGTGTCAGATTTTCAGGCTCCTCAGTCATGGCCGCTTTGAGCAGTCACGGGAACCCAGGAAATGTCTGTTGCTTAAAATTCAGCACTGAAAGTTTGGAGGGACAACTGGAGTACAAACAACACAATCCCCATGAGAGAGAACAGAGCTGGAGAAGGAAAAGCCCCATCTTCCAGGTCTGCAACAGAAGAGATCTCAGTCCCCTTCCATTTACTGCTGTAAGCGAATACAGGTTGAATGGAAGGGAAGCAGAATGCTGCCATGAGAAGGATCTTGTACTCTGGCTCTTGTGAACTAACTCAAAATTCCATCTATACAGTGGTACTTCGGGTTAAGAACTTAATTCGTTCTGTAGGTCTGTAACCTGAAGCGTATGTAACCTGAGGTACCACTGTATATGGCTGTGCTGTGAGTATGTCAAGTCTCAACAACAATGGGGGAAATTGTGAGTACTATAATAGAGTACATTGTGAAACAGAAAAATCCCATGATTTGTGGAAATATAGGTGAAATATTGACTGGAAATATAGGTGAGGACCCCAATAGCATTGCGCCATCAGTTTTCCAGGACCTCCCAGCCTACTCCACTCCCATGGCCCCTCTGCTGAAAAGATGCTCTTACATGTCTAGAGTTCCTCTAGAGCAGGGTGGCCTCTCAGCAACATTTGAAGCAAGGTGGTGGGCTTTGGGGAGGAGACGTGAGTGTTCAGACAGGGTGCTGGAGTCCTCCCACCTCCTTTGGGAAGGAGATGGGAGGGCTCTAGGACCCTCCCAGAGCCTCATGCCTTCTTCCCAGAGCCCAATGCCTTGCTTAGCTGTCTTTGGCAAGGCAGTGCAAGGACTGGTGAAGGGTGTGTGTGTGTGTGTGTGTGTGTGTGTGTGTGTCAAATTTTGGCCTGGCTCCCCCTATGTGACAAGGCAGTGTGCAAACCACAGATTCTGTGACAAAGGACTCTTGTGGCCCACTTAGTATGAAAATTTGGACCGCCATGTGCTAGAGCATTGTTGAATGAGGCACCATGTACTGCAGACAAAAGGGCAAGCTGGCTAGCTCCATGCACACACACGTAAACATTCTGTGCACATGACTGGACCTCTTTGGATCCCAATTGCATTAATGGAACACTGGAGTGAGAAAATGGACGAGCTATAGAGGGCTAACTGAGTGACCCAAGTTCCTTCCAGCCCTGTCCTCCCGCTGAGTTCACTTTGGATCCTCCCTGCCTGCTTCCAGCCTGGCCCTCATTCTACTACTGGCTTTTCTTCCATACTTTGCATTCTTCTGCATATAGAAATCCAGCAAAATTACTGTTGTTCAGCCAGTCCTCTCCTTAACTTCAGTCCACAGGCTTTTGGACAGGGAACATGCAATCATGAGCAGCTTTTTGACATCAGTATGTTTCCATTCTCCTTAGATCCCATAAACCTCCCTGAGCTTCACCTCTTTCGTCTCTCCCCCTGCCCCACTTCTGAGCCACAGAGGCCGTTCTCTGCCAGCCTCTCACAAAGCAGCTCCCGAAGAGATGAATCATTGGGTTGGCTGTCTTGTGTACTTTGGATCTGGTCTCTCTGCCTTCCTTTAATATAGTGACCAGATTCGCACACACAATTACAAAAGAGGCCATCCAGCTGCCTCGCTGGATGCCAAAGTAATAATGCCTGTGGGTTTGTGCTCCATACTTCTTCATACATGCCCCTAGATCTTGTTTGCCTTTCCTAATGCTGCCAGATGTTGCTTGGATGGGTTTCCTAGCATGTGGTAGCGAATGTTACCCTGCCAGTGATTTTTAACAAATTTAAGCAACTTTTAATTCACTGGGCTTTTGGCTCTTCGCTGGGCCAAAATAGACATTACACACAGATGCATGTCATGTTGCCATCACAGCCCTTTTTAAATAAGAAAAGATGTTTCAAGAGTGTGCAGTCAGGTCCGGAGAAGTTTGCAGCGTCTATGTGTCCATGACCACCATTTCCCAACCCCACATCATGGGCAGCTCCCCACCCTCACAGGGTTCAAAGAATTGTAGAGTTGGAAGGGACCGCGAGGGTCATCTAGTCCAGCCCCCTGCAATGCAGGAATCTTTTTGCCCAATGTGGGGCTCAAACCCGCAACCCTGAGATTAAGAGTCCCTTGCTGTACCAGCTGAGCTAGTCTCACTGCCTAAAGGAGAGAAGCTACTTGGCAGATCTGAAGCAGGGAAATGGCTGGCCAGGCTTAGTCATCATCGTTTCTGGTCCAGATTGCCTCTCCAGAAATTACTTTTCCTGTTTAAGTTGGTCACTGGTTTAATTTTACATATATCTGTATGAAACATATAATTTGGCCCTCAGGACTTTATGTACATCATGCATGTAAAGCACATTTAAAGCATGACCCCCAAAGAATCCCAGAAACTCTCATTCAGGAAGGGTACTGGGAATTGTAGCTGTGTGAAGGGTGAACTGCACTTCCCTGGGTTCTTTGGGGGAAGTTTTGTGCATTAAGTGATACATGTTTTACTGATTTGGACCATCTATCAATGTAGCTTTATATTGTTTTTATTGACTGGAAGCAGCTCTCTGGATTTTCAGATGGGTCTCTCTCTCCCAGCTGTATCTGGAGATGAATTCTGATAATCTGCCATTCAACTACAGCCCTTTCTGCTACAACTTTTCTATTGGAATGCCTACCTATACCACTGAAGATAAGTCCTATTGTCACTTTCCATGTTCATACTCTGTTGGCAAGAAAATCTGGCTCCCGTAATAAGAAAACTAACTTGTTTTTAAAATATACTAAGTCAAACAATGTGACATATGCTTACTGAACTCAGAAAACTGCATACATGCATATTTTTTTGCAGAATTTGGATTCTTCTTTTTGGCAGAAAGCAATGTGGTGGCAGGAGGAGAGGTGTTAGTAAATAAGGAACATTTGGAGCCTATGGATAAAGAAAGAAAGAGTCTAGACTGTTAAGGAAGCAGATGTTCCACTCCCCAAATGCTGGAATTCCCTACAAACTCTAAACGTGATCTAAGTCCTTTGTGCACTTTATGCCATCACTAGCCCCACTATTTTTTGTTGGTAGTCAAGGATTTGGAAATTTTATTAAATAAATAAATAAATAAATAAATAAATGGTAAAAGAATATACTTCAGCTGTGTGGGCAAAGGGGTGAATTCATCTCACAAAAGATTCAGTGATTTGAAACTGTCATCTGCTTTGATTAGTTGGAATAATGTCATAAAGAAAAATGTAAAAATAAAGGAATGTTGGCATATTCCAGCAAAAATGGAAAAGAAAGCGGAAATTGCTGCAGTTGGTGTGTTTGTCTGTGGTCAGGAATGGAAATCAGCTAAGTGAATTAACACCATTGTTTTCCTTCACATCATCGTCACCCCCCCATGCAAATGATACGTGATTGATGACTTATTAAAGATTGTTATGATATTTCCTTTACATTGAAACGAATGCAAGTTGTGTAAGTCACATAAATAGTCACATATGTTATGGTAAGTTATATAACTTAAGTTAATTAGCAGGCAGTGAGGTAAATAATGAAATATTTGTTGGAAACTGAACTGCAGCGAAACAGAAATGGTGCTGATTGTGACAAATACAGGTTGGCATGGAAATCACTTCCTTCTGACTCCTTAGTGGTTGAGTCTCTATTATGCTTCTTGTCTGTATGACATTGCCTTTTAACACTTCATTCTGCATTGTTATTTTAATTTTTGCAAGTTGTTCTGTGATGGTTGTGGGAAATGACTCATAAACTGAATGGACACAAATAGCAATAATATCCTTCTCTTTCTGTTGCAGACCTCTTGACAGCCAAGGAGTACCACTGCCTCCTGCAGCTGCTTTGCCCTGACTTCCCCATGGAGCTTACACAGAAAGCAGCAAGGTGAGCCCTCCTTCAGCAATTAGATCTGTGGTTATTTCCTACAGCGAGAATCCGCTCCTGCTTTATACTTGGGTAGGAAAAGTGCCTGTACTGAAATAGTGTTGGCACTGCCAGTTGTGCATGGTGCATATGCAATTTGAATGATGCAGGTTGCCTATGATAAACACAGACGTGGGGACACAAGTCTTTCCTGATCACTGTTTTTGTGTTCAATACAGGGAAGCCTGTACATTTGACTGTACTGCTGTCGGTACCCATTTAAACTTGAATGCTTTTAGTACCCTGACTTAAAACAAAGAATGAATACTGAACTGTCTCTTAAAATTGCAGTATTTGCGATAAGCAATATGTTTACTTTGGGGGTTTGTATTGCATGTTTTGGTTTAATATAAAGGGATCTGTTTCAGAGCTGAACCTCATGTTCATATTCTGGGAGAAGGGGAATGGGTTTTATTCTTGATCCACTTTCAGTCTGAAATCTTCCAAGGAACAGCTCCTCTGGTCTCAGTTCCAAACCCTTATGGACTCCAGACTGATATGCGAGATTCCCCAGGCATCCTGTTGACATCCAATGATCGAGTAATCTAAGCAATTTTGGCAACGGGTAGCCTGACATATCTCTGGCTTAGATACCGCAGTTGGGGCAGAGTCTATGTTGAATTGGATATGGGCAGATTTATCTGTAAAGTCGCTTGAAAACAAGTCACAGTTGGTGTGCTGATAGATTCAAACCACTTGAGAGATATTCTGTCAAGCAAGCAGTATATTAATTTTGTTTAAATAAATAAAATAAACTTTTGAACATGAAAAGCATGCAAACTGAGTGTGGGAGGGTGTCATACTAGATCAGTGGTTTTCAACTGTTTTATCTTCAGGAATATGTTTCTGTGTTGCCTTGTCTCCTGAAGACTGTCAAGGTAGCATAGACTCTTAATCTCAGGTTCGTGGGTTCGAGCCCCATGTTAGGCAAAAGATTCCTGCATTGTAGGGGGTTGGAATAGATGACCCTTGGGTCCCTTCCAGCTTGGCAATTCTATGATTCTATGAGGAACTTCAGGGAGGCTGCTTGGTCATTACTAATCTTCTCATGAAGAACCCTCCAAGGAACCACCAGGGCTTTTCCAGAACCCAGTTGAAAGCCACTTTTTAAGAGTCTAATAGACATAAAGACAATGTCAATAGCAAGAGGATCTGCCTTTTGGTTCTCAGCAGAATTAGGTATGGTCTTAAGGGAATTGACAAAAGAAAGTTTGCCTGCTGCAGCAGGCTCTATGAATCATGAGACGCTTTCTGCAATGCTCTAGTATCTTACTCAACATGCAGAAGGGGGGGAAATAAGGCACATGTCACCTTTATTGTCACTGCTGGTTTAATCAAGAGCCAGTTAGTAGAGTATTAAGAGCTGGCCTGTGAAACCTGGGTATTAATCCAATGAACTCACCAGCTGACTTTAACCAAGTGAGCGAGTCAGCTGTGTTTCAGTTCAGTTTGCAAAGTGACTTGAAGACTTGAAGTTCACTGTGTGCTATAACCTGAAAGAGAATTTCATGAAAATGCTTCACCGTTGGTATCTAACACTTTCAAAACTGGCTAAAATACATAAAATCAGGTCAAGCATTCGTTGGAGAGGCAGAGGGCACAATGATCCACATTTGGTGGAACTGTAAAAAAATAAAATGATTCTGGGAAACAATATACAATGAGCTTTAAAAGATTTTTAAAATTTCCTTTGCAAAAACCCCCGAAGCCTCTCTGCTGGTTTTTAATGATATTCTGAAAAATCTGAGGAGAATTTTCATGTATGCAGCAAGAATTTTAATAGCTAAAGGATGGAAAGGAGAATCTGTTCCCACTAAGTTGGATTGGCAGGCAAAAATGCTAGAATACGCAGAATTAGCAAAAACGACAGGAAGAATGAGAGATGATACAGAACAAAGGTTTATTAGAGAATGGGACATTTACAGAGTATACCTAAAAGAGCATTGTAAACATCTAAATTCTCTGGCAGGTTTTGATTGACCCCTGCATGACAGTAGGAAATTTTAGAAAACCAAGACAATTTGAGACAATTTATGAGAGACAATGGAAAGTGTGCAGTTGATAATGTAACCCAGGAAACACGATGGGGTGATTGGAAGTCATAATGGAATCTTTGATGTATGAATTTTCTTTTCTTTTCTTTTTGTAATTTGTATTGATCTTGGCTTGTTTTTGTTGATTGTTTTTTGCGAAATTAATAAAGCATTTAAAAAAAGAAAAGAAAAAAGAAACTAATAGCGGCCTACCTCAGAAGCTGATTGCAAGGATAAATGAGAATTTTTGCCAGGAATAAATTCATTGGTCCACAGTCTTCACAATGCAGGCTATAAGTCTGAATACATAAATCTGAGAGGAGGCACGATGCTGAAGATTGTGTCAAGGAATTTAATCTGCAAAGCCATTGTAAACCTGAGGCCCCACTGAAGGGGGGCAGGCTTCGCACAACTCCTCTGTTGTGTGCTTGTGCCTTGGAGACAGACAAGCTGGGGGCTTTGGGACGGCAGGTGTGAGAGAAAAATGAGATCTGTGTCTGAGGCACCCCGGCTCAGGTGGGAATGATCTCACTGCCTTTGCTCTTCTGGGTTTGAGAGCTTCCTTGCGCTAACAATTTGCTCTCACCCACGCAGCTAATCAAGGGAAGTCACTTGATATACTGCCTTAAACCTGAAGCTGGTTTTGCCTCTCCTTCCTCTTCTATACCTTCTGATACTCTTGTCTGCATTTTTCTTTTAGTTTCCCCCTACTCGTACATCGGAAGCCCCTGGCTGACTATGGGCCATTAGTGTCACCAGCTGGACAGATTGTTTTTTCCCAGGCAGCTGGCTCTTTCGATTCAGTATCGGCCAGCAGGCTCATGCTTGTCACCTCCCCTGCCAACCAGGATTCTTGTTTCTGCTTTCAAGTAGGATATAACTTAAGGCTTACCATCAGTCCACTCAGTGACAGCACCTATCGATAAGCTTTGGGGGCTATGATTTCATAGGCAGGCATCGTTCATAATCCAACGGGCCTTTTGGAATCCTTGAAGCTGCATGGCTGAGATGATTTCACAGGGCAGCCAGCTCTTTGGAGGCCTGTTGCTATGTGCTGATAACAAACAGTATGAAAGAAAGAGGTCACATACGATGTTGGGGCAGAGAGGAGAGGCAGCCGCAGTGCAGAAGAGAATGAGGTGTGATCCAGCATCTTTAAACACAGGTTGGCTCCATTTGTGGGCTGGCATCTAAAGGGGCAAATGGTAGGTGAGTGATGGACTGTGAGCTCCCTGCCCACTGCTCCCAGTCCCTCTCTCCAAAGACTATTCTTCTAGTCACCTTCTGATACAGAGAGTAAGCCTGGCTGCTAGAAAAACTTATGGGAGAGAGGCTGTGTGTGTATTTCTCCAGGAGGGGGTGATGGCGAGTGGGGGAGTTCCAAGAACCCTCACCCATGTTCCCCTTTGGCCTTATGAATCACACCCCACCCCACATGAAAGGGGCAGACACGGACCCATCTTTAAAGATGCAGGTCGTCTGCTTCACGTGCAGTCTGGGCCTCCATCTCTTGTGACGAAACCAGAGAGAACTGGGCTAGTTCCCACAAGCGCCGGTGAGTTCCCTGCAAGGCATCGGCCACAGGCGGTTTGGAGGCTTTCATCTTTGGCAGTGATATGTGACATAGAGCTGCTTTGATTTGTGGGGTGGGAAAGAGGAGGGTTATCTGGCTAGAAGCAAAATATTAGGACTTGCAGCAGAATTGCAAGCACACCATATACTGTGCCTAACTCCCTTTTTAAAGCAACGATTTGTGCCTGCTAGTTAATATTAGGCTTTGCTCACATTAAGTGCTCTCTGCGTGGGCTCCCAGTCCCATAACAGGGGTGATCAGGAAGAATGGGGAGCCTGGACACAGACATGAGCTGATCCAGCTTGGCTCGAAGAGCAGGGGCCATTCTGTCTCCAGCACCATAGAAGGAGTGATGGGCTGTGTCCCACACATCAGCTGCTTGTAACCTTGAAACTACCTGAAGTCTGTCCTTCCCAAAGGCTGTGGTGGCAGAGGTGTGAGAGAAGTCTGCTTAGTGCCGGGCAGTTCCCTCAGTTCTGATCTCAGGGGCGGGTCAGCAACAAAACACCTAGTGTCAGGTAAGTTAGCTCTTTATTCAAAGAAATCAAAACAGCTCAGTCCTAGTGGTTACAGCAACCCTTACCAGTAGGCCTAGCCCCAACGAAGCAGTTGCGAGGACTGAAGGTTCCTTCTCTATCAGCCTACGGCTCCTCCGCCTGGTCTCTCTTTGCTCCGCCCTCTTCATTCCTCTTCTTGTTCTGGGAGACCAGGGGGAAGGGGAGCTGCTCACAGATGGAGGGAGAGCTTTGCTGGCTTCTTCAGCAGCCTGCCTCCACTTTGCTTCTTGACCTTCCCCCGCCCCTGATTCTGGATTCCTGCCTGTCACAGCTGCTTCCTGCTCACTAAACCCTATTACCTCTTCAGCTTCCAAACCTCCTCCTCCCAGTCTGCACCCTCTGACCACTCATTGTCGTCCCACCACCGATCCCCTGGCTCTGAGCCTTCTTCTCCTGGAGGGGGTGCCTCCCACCACCCCTCTGCATCCAGCCAGTCCATAGCAGATGAGGAGCTTTATCAAGACCCCTCCCTGCATCTGTTCAAAGGAATGATCAGATTTCAGCTATTTCAACAAGGGCCTTGATGACATTGTGCTGATTAACAAACATTCCCCACCCCATAACATACGCTTGACAGTTTCAACTTGTTGCTGCTGAAAAGTAGGCTTGCTGGAGTTTCATATCATGGCCAATTTCTGTCTGTGACACCCGCTGACTTAGGGCCAAGCTAGATGTTCATTTAATGGGTAGTATACAGTGATGGAGCTTATTTCCCCCTAATTAATTACAGGGGTGTGTGATTCTTACTAGGAAGCCAGAGCACGGGATGTGGAGGGAGGCTTATTTCTTCACTCCTTCTCCATGGTTGGAAGAGAGGTTCCTCCCACCCCAGCAGCTAGCAACCTTAGGAGGAAAATGTCCCCATTAGCGGACTCTACTTTCACAATATGCTGAAGGCAGGAATTGATAAAATGGATGGATGGAGGAAGAGGGGACTTAACTTACAGAAAAGCAGAGTCAGACTACCACATCTGATCTACAACATGCCTTATTTTCAACTTGTGGTCCTTCTGTCACCTCTGTGTTTCCTTAGTTTTTGTCATGAACTATAGGCATTAAATTGAGTGCTCCACAATATGCAAAGCATCACCCGGGCTCTGTAACCTTGTGCTTGGAGTGCAATATGAAAAATAGAAAGGGAAGGATGAGACGTCTCTCCTCCCCCTGTCCACAAGCATCTGTTTTCTAGAGAGTTCGTGCAGGTCCATTTCCAGCTCCAGGATGTCACCATAAATTAGGACCGCGTCCCTTTCTTGTGGCTCCTCCCTTTCCTCAGATTTTCCTCCCATTCAGCTCTTTAGGAGAAGCATAAACATGTCCCTGGCAGTGCTTTACAGGTTGCTTCAGCTGTGCAGCCAGCAGTTCACTTGGGGAAATAACTCTGTCGCTCACCCTCTTAAGCAACTGGGCTGGTTCTACCCACGACTGGTCTTCTCTGGAGAACAGACACTTGGGCCAACTGGAGCCGGTAACCCAACACCAAAGGACACCTGCTTCCAGCTAGGTGCTTCCTCAAGACACCTTCTGGCATAGCTTTATGGTCTTCCCTTAATTTAGCTTCCTCAAATACCTTTGCAGTGCTTCAGACAACTATCACAGCCTTCCAGCACTTCTAGAATTGGGGCGGGGTGGGGGGAGAGAAGGAGTGCCGACTCCATTAAGGGTCAGACCACTCAGCATGACTTCAGTGCCCCTGGCTTTTTCTGCACCCTCTTTCTTCCAGGAGCAGAGATTTCCTGGCAACTGCTTTTCGGCCTCTCCTCTGATGCCGGCTGCCTTTGCTGGGGCTACCTGAGGGGTGCGAAGCTTTGAGGCACCGATGCAGCCTGTAGCACTTCCAAGGGCTTGAAGAGTGGTTTTGGATGCCAGAGGCTGCTCTGCATTGCCTGGGAGATGGAAGATGCTCTGCCTTCCAGCTTCAAAGCCATCTCCTTGATGTGGCCACCGACAATCTCCATAACGTGCTTATTAGTGGGAATTAGGAACTGGAGCTGCTGCCGCTCTAGACAGCAGGAGGAGGAGGAGGAGGCGGTTTCTGGGACATAATAAATAAAACAGAAGCACTTCAACATCTTCAAAGGGTTTTGTTTTAAATAGTGGCTTTTCTCCTGGGGACCCTCTTAGCCGTAGCCTTTCTTCTTGGCAATAATTAATTCAAGCTGCTCTGTGTGCTTGAATTTGCCTCACTGAACTGAGCTGGTCCGAGTGGCGGAGAGGGAAGCCTTTCCCGCAGATGCGTCCGGCCGCCTTCCGTCTCCTCCTCCTGCTCAGCTTCCGCAAGCCTCTTCCACCGGTTGGAGCAACCCAGGACGGATGACTTCTCTCTGGATTATAAGGGGGTCCTAGTCCCAAACCCTCCCCAGTAAAAGGCATTCCTGCTTTGAAGGATACAGTTCGCTCTGTGTTAGAACTATATGAACAGACAAATGCTGGAGGATGCTTGCCAAAGCCATGACAGAGCTTACTGTTTATGGAAGCAAAATGAGTTTTCACCCTATTTGACCCTAAGTGTTTTATGAAGAGCGAATTGTATATCTGTATATAGGTGCGTTCGTAGGCTGTGATGTAGGCCCAGCTGCCCTAACAGGATCTCTCTAGGCTGGGATGGCTCATCTGGTACAGCATGAGATTCTTAATCTCAGAGTTGTGGGTTTCAGCCCCACATTGGGCACGGGATTCCTGCATTGTAGGGGGTTGGACTAGATAGCCCTAGTGGTCCCTTCCAACTCTACAGTTCTATGATTCTTGTCTATCCAATCTCAAGTTCAGCTCTCATTCATGTATTTCATGCGTGGGGTCTTTATATGGACAAAAACTGGCAAACAGATGCAAACCAAGAGCCATGTCAGTGTTTGTCACCAAGTAGGAAGCATAAAACACAAATGATAGTTCCATGTGCCCTGCAGAACCCACTAAACAGATGTGGGGGCCCTTAATGCACTCCCCACAAAGTGCTCCCTTTTCCCTACTCATTGTAGTGAGCAGCCCAGACTTGAGAGATGAAGGAAACAAAAGGATTATTTCCTGAATCCTTCATAGGAGCATCCCAGGTTTCGCTTTCATCTTGTTCTGCTAGTTTCAGAAATATCAATGCTATTTGGAACTGGAGCATAAATCGGCACAGTAAAGCCCTTTTCTTTCCTGCTAGCATTAGCTGTGTTTGTCCAAGGTCAGAACAGGAGGAATTTGTTGCTGCAATCTTGTCTTCATTTTATCCTTTATGTGTAGAGTACTTGGCCATTATTGCTGAACCAAGATAGCAGAAGGCAATGTGTCCTTCAATCTTTTAGGATTCCAGAATGTGCTGTCAGAAAATGTTGATTCTGTATCTTACATGTATGACATTTTTATTTCGTACTGGCCAAGGCAGAACTGATACTTGTGGATTTCCAAAGTTTAGGTGTCAGGAAGGCCCTCCACCACCACCTTTTCGGAACAAGTGAAATAAGTTAAGAACATCCTTCCTTGAAAGCACCCAGTCTCTTGGAGGCTTCTTGGCTCTCGATGTTTCATTTCCATTTCCACAGGGTTCTAATGTTGCATCCACACACCATGAAATCAGATAGACCCAATAGCCATGCTTGTCTGTTTTAGCAGAAGCAGTCTCAGGGCACCTTAAAGATTTAGCCGGTTTATAACAAAACAGCTGAAGCCAGAGGTGGTGAACCTGTAGCCTTCAAGCTAAATTTGTGTGGTTGGTGGGAGCGCAGAGAGCAGGAGGCGGGGAATCTTGTGTGTGTGTGTGTGTGTGTGTGTGTGTGTGTGTGTGTCTGGGAAAGAGCCGAAAGAGATGGAGTGATGGAAGACAGGGAAGTCCTTGACATGTGATCAGTTTAGACCTCTGGCAGTTTAGACCTCTGTTCATTCATTCCCTGGCAGCCTGCTGGGTGAGATGTAAGAGAGACAGAGAGAAGAGTGTAGCACACCGGGAGAGAGAGGAAAGGTGTGCCTTTGCCCCACTTTTGGCTCTGCCTCCCATCACCTGCTTTGGGAAGTAGGCAGAGGTAATTCCTAGGATTCCAGTCCATGGAAGCTTGTGCATCTGTTCTAGTCTATAAAGGGCTGAGACCTCCTTTGTGAGTTTGTTTTGTGACTCTGAGGAGTCCTTGCTCACTTCCTGTGAACTTGGCCTCAGCTGTAAGTTACCTGGCCTAGCAACTGGCTGTTGCTGAGCTATCTGTCTCTCCTTCTCCATTCCAGGATTGTTCTCATGGATGATGCTGTGGACTGCTTGATGTCTTTTTCAGACTTCCTGTTTGCCCTCCAGATCCAGTTTTACTACTCAGGTGAGCCCATCTTACTAACCTTGTCTTTCTTACTACAGTGACCCATTTAGGATTGTAGACTCTGGACTTAGCAGCTTCACACCATTGCCCACCCCCCTTTTTTACATGGTAATATGCATTGCTTCACTTAACTTCAAAACGTGATAAGCCAGCAGCCCTGCACTTCACTCTGCTGAGTGTGGCCCTGCCCTCATGGTGCCACTGTCCTCCTGCACAGCTACCTTAGACAGGACAAATATGGCAGGAGTGTGGGCAACACAGGCCAGGAAGCCTTGTCCTGCGACGCAGATCCTCCTGATAGAGAACTACATGTGAAGGTCACTCATTCTACACACTCCTGAGCCAGAGAGGCACTTCGGACACAACTCATTTCCAGAAAACACTGACGTTAAAGCATGAAAAGTACATGTGGCTCTTCCTCATGTGTGAACTTTGCATCCATTTCACTGCATATTTATTATTATTGGTTTATATATATTTCTACCCTCTCCTTTAAAGGCAAGCCCTCACAAGGTGGCTTTTGAAAAACAATGGACAAATAACAATACAGTGGTACCTTGGGTTACATACGCTTCAGGTTACATACGCTTCAGGTTACAGACTCCGCTAACCCAGAAATAGTGCTTCAGGTTAAGAACTTTGCTTCAGGATGAGAACAGAAATTGTGCTCCGGTGGCACGGCGGCAGCAGGAGGCCCCATTAGCTATAGTGATGCTTCAGGTTAAGAACAGTTTCAGGTTAAGAATGGACCTCCGGAATGAATTAAGTACTTAACCCGAGGTACCACTGTAAAAACACATGAGATAAAAGCATATACAGGGGGTCCAGCTTGAAAAATAAGAAACTCAGTGAAATAAAGTCTTTAGGGTCTGCTTAAGGACAAGAAAAGGGGAGAAGCAGTTCTTCTACAAGTGTGGAGCTGACACTGAAAAGGCCCTGTTTTTGGTATTTGCCAACCTTAGTAGGAGGTCCTTAGCCTGGGTAGGTTCATATGGGTATAGACAGCGCTTCAAATAATCTGGTCCTGAACTGTTCAGGGCTTTAAAGGTTACCACCAGTTCTTCACACTGAGCCCAGAAACAAATGGGTGGCAAGAGCAACTGATGCAAAATCAGTGTGATGTGATCAATCTGTCTACTCCCACAAGCATTCTGGCAGCTGAAGTTTGTAGCAGCTGAAGTTTCTGGACTGTCTCCAAAGGCAGTCCTATATGCAGATCACTGTAGTAGTTTAGTCTGGATGTAACCAGTGCATGTGTAACTGGGGCCAGCTCCACTTTCTCCAGACAAGGCTGCAATTGGTGAATGAACCCAAACTGATAGAAGTCACTCCCAGCCACTGAGGTCACGTCCATAAATAACACTATGCCCAGGAGCACCCCCAAACCACACACCTGATTCTGTGTAACCCCATCAAAAACCTGTTGTGAACAAACCTCCACTGATATGTGCACCCACCATACCTGAATACTGGCCATGCTGCCTCAGATTGCATTGTAACCCAAAACACCTGGAGAAGAGAAATATCAATATACAACCAGCACAACCGCAAATAGGCATCATGTACATGGTTTTCTCACATCTTCACAAAAACCCTTTACATGTAGCAAATTCAAAATGCTTGAAGCAGCCCCAAGTATTTTATTTCTGGAAAGCAGTTTCCTTTCTGATGGTAACCAGCGAGAGAATGGGTCTGAGTGAAGACTCTAGCACCTGTCAGGGGTAAAAACCCTGAAATTTGGGAACAGTGTATATTCATGGTAACCGTGTGGGAATGCCTGTTTACATTTTATTGCTTATGGGAGATGGAATCGTGTGCTAAATTCCTTGTCCTGCTTCGTCCTTACGACACACCTCTCTGTTGTTTATCTCTGGGCAGGGATGGAATCCAAATGCACAGCAGATAATGAACCCCTCTCTCAGTCACTCTCTCCTGCGTGAATGGGGTCCATTTCAGGAATGCAGCATATTCTGAAAGCTGCTCTAAACTCTGGACCTTCAGGATAACCTTAGAAAGCCACCCAGCTTTGTGACGCATCATAGCCTTCCAGGCTCTTGTTGTGTGCGTAGAGGTCGGCAGACACAGACCACAGGTCACCACTTCCATGCTCATCTGCGCACGTCCGCTTTCCAGGCTACCCTACCAGCCCACATGCATGCAAACCACTCAGTGTGGAATCTACATCTGTAAATGGCTGACCAGGTCCATAAACAAACTTGTTTAAATTTAGATTCTGGGAGTAAACAGCGGGGAAGGTTTGGAGCCTGGGGGGAAATGCTTTCGGCCAGCTTCTCCCCCTAATCTTCCCTTTGGACCCTGTCTTGTGTTTACTTTGGATTTGTGCTGAAGTACACTGGGCTGCAGGCTGGAGACTGCTTGACCCAACTCCCTTGCCTCCTCCAACAATTCCAAACAGCTTCTTCCTAACTTGGGTGGTGTTTATCTCTGTGACCGTGGAAGTTTGCATGTTTAAGAAGCTAGTCTGATTGGGTGGCCTTGACTTTCACTCTCCTTCATAGAATTAAAGTTGGAAGGAATTTTTCTTAAAAAGCACACTCAAAAGAGCAGGACCAGCAATTCATCCACAAGATTTTCAGAGGTGACCCTGTGAAATCCTCTTGTGGCTTTCTTGTCCCATCCTGAAAAGGCTAAGTGTTAGGCTGTGTCAGTAAGGCACAGAGGTTGCCAGTGTGATTTGCTCCCAGATGTTGTGGGCTATAGCACCCACCAGCCCCAGCCAGCATGGCCAATGGCCAGGGATGATGGGGCTGCTTGGTTTTTTTGTTTGTTTGTATTTTTTTGTATTTTTTACAATTCTAGACCACCCTTCATCCGAGGATCACAAGGCAGTTTACAATATAAAAACACAAAAATACATACCATAGTATTAGTCCAAAACCATGTGAAGGGGACCATGTTGGCGTCCCCTGCACTAAGGCCTTTTGGGTCACCTCATCACATAGTAACATCACAGTATTGCATGCTCTAAGGCTTCTTTGCCAGTATCATGCGTAAGTAACTGCAGGAGGAAGAATGGGATCGATTTGCTACACATGTCCCCAAGCCTTGAGAATTCCCACGTGTGCCAATAACCATGATTTCTAAGTTGCCTTTCTGTTTTTACAGAGTTCATTGAAAGCGTGGCTGCCATCTATCAAGAGCTCTTGACGGGCAAGAACCCAAACACCGTCATTGTGCCTACATCATCCTCTGGGCAGCATCGTTCGCGCCAGACTCTAAGTGAGTGCAGCCAGCTCGATGGGGTGGAGGCACCTGCATTTTACCAGTGCCTTGAGTCTCTGTGTGACAGGTCCAAATACAGGTAAGGCTTGTGACCGGCTAACATGAATAAACCATGGTTCATCTTTGCCTACCTTGCAGGGAGGGGAGGGGCTCCATGAAGTCTAGGCAAAGACACTCATCACATCTAGGAACTGAGATGTGGCAAGTTGCCCTGTATCCTTAGCCCAATGCTGCCTCTCTGCTCTCTGAAACTAGCATGGCTAAGTACCACTGATAGTTAGATGGGTGTCAGAAATTATGATACCAACTTCTCAAGGAGCTCACAACTGCAAAAAGGCAGTTTTCCCTGTAACAAGTGAGCACGTTTTGAACCCCCTCTTAACTCTTGAGTTCTGCCAGAGGGAAGTGGTCTTTTGACTTAAGAGTATGCCAGTATTCTCAGGCCCATCTAGGGCGTTTCAGGCTGAGCGTGAAATAGGGCCCATTTCTCAATAGAAACAGTGCTGACAGTGTCATTCCTTCAGTATGAGAGCTATGCCAGCGCTGACAGAAATGGATTGCAGTACCTGCTGGTCAAAGTTGTTGGGAAATGCCCTTCAGCAAAGCACTTTTCACCTCCTCACATTAAAAGGCAATCACGGTTGCCTGTGGAGATTGATTATTTATTCATACCCTGCTTTATAGCCCCAAGACACTCTCAAAGCAGCTCACAGAAGATTCTCAAAAATGAAAACCATATTCAAATCTAGTACAGAAGCAGGAATTGTACAGGGTCCACACAGAGCCAGGCTTGTCCAGGCATCATTTCCTGTCCTTGTCCTCCTTCTTTGATGCCATAACGGGCAGCAGTCCTCCCCTGAGGCAAGGGAATGAGACTAAGTGACTGGATCCTGTCAAGCCTATGGTGGAAGGAGTCTTCCCTTGTTGGTAACATGCCAGACGGCAGCTCCCACCAAAATCCCTTGAGGCAAGGGGGTGCAGCCCAATTCACGCATGGCCAGAGCAGGAGGGAGTTATGGGGAGATTATTTCCTCCTGCGTACTTTTAAAAGACAGCTTCATGTTGCAAAGTGACACCTGATCCATCCCTCCATCCATAAGCTGAAATTGCTGAACCTGATGCAGCACCATTTCTTCCTGTCTTCCTCTCGTTTGCCTAGCTGTCCCCCATCTGCTATTGTGAAGGAAGTTCTGAGCAGTGTGCAGAGACTGACCTTCTATGGATTTCTGATGGCTCTTGCAAAGCATCATGGGATCAACAGAGCCCTCGGTAAAGAAAAGTCCCACCCTGTTTCTTCCCTCTCCCCCGCAATGATGTGGTCTAGGGAAGTTGACAGCAGGTTGTAAAGTGACCACTGAGAAAGATGCCTTTGCCGTGACCAAATATGCCAGAAAAACAATGTAGGAGCATTTTAGAAAGGTCCCTTTGGAGTAAAGAAACTTGGAATGAATCAGTCAAGAAAGGCAAGCGGGACAGTACAGTGGTACCTCGCAAGACGAACGCCTCGCAAGACGGAAAACCCGCTAGACGAAAGGGTTTTCCGTTTTGGAGGCGCTTCGCAAGACGAATTTCCCTATGGGCTTGCTTCGCAAGACGACAGCCCATAGGGAAATATCCGGGACAGCGGGGAAGCGCAGCGCGTCTTCCCCACTGTCCTCGGACCTCCTCCGAAGCCTGGCGGCGGGGCGGGAACACCTCCTCCCGCCGCCGCCGGGCTTCGGAGGCACAACGATGCTCCGAAGCCGGGCGGCGGGGAGGGAACACCTGCCTCCACCGCCCGGCTTCGGAACAATGCTCCGAAGCCGGGCGGCGGGGCGGGAACACCTGCCCCCGCCGCCCGGCTTCGGAACGATGCTCCGAAGCCGGGCGGCGGGGAGGGAATACCTCCCCCGCCGCCCGGCTTCGGAACGATGCTCCCAGACGGCTTTTGAAGGCAGGCAGGGGGGAGCATAGACTTTCACCCCCCGCCCGCCTTCAGAAGAGGTCCTGGACCTCTTCTGAAGGCAGGCGGGGGGGCGAAAGTCTTTGCTCCCCCCTGCCTGCCTTCCCGGGAGAGCGGAGAAAGTCTTTGTCCCCCCTGCCTGCCTTCCCAGGGGCTTTTAAATCGCCCCGGACAGCGGAGAAGTCCTCCGCTGTCCCAGGGCGATTTTAAAATGCCGCCCGCCAGCATTTTAAGATCGCCCCGGACAGCGGAGAAGTCCTCCGCTGTCCCGGGGTTTTTTAAAATGCTGGGGGTGGGAAGAAAAGCCCTTGTCCCCCCCCCAGCCTTCAGAAGAGGTCCGGGGACAGACTGTCCCTGGACCTGGTCTGAAGGCAGTTTCCCTAGGAACGCATTAATTGATTTTCAATGCATTCCTATGGGAAACCGTGCATCGCAAGATGAAAAACTTGCAAGACGAAGAGACTTGCGGAACGAATTAATTTCGTCTTGCGAGGCACCACTGTACAAAAAAAGAAAGAAAAACCCTTCATTTAAACTGCTTTAATTCCTTCCAGTTGCCCAAAGACCACATCATGCATTATCTTTTAGTTGTAAAGTGTGACTGTGGCAGATGCGTGTTTGGAAACATGGGTTTCATACCTGTCCCCTTGTCAGGCAGCTGTGACTGTAGCTGTGACTGGCTGCAACCGTCTGCTGAGTGTACATTTGTTGATTTGTTTCTGCAAAATGAGGGAAGTGGTTCTTAAATTAATTGTTTAATTGTTGGCCCAATCATTTGTGGCCTGGACTGGATCAAATGAATTATGATTGGCTAAAGTGAGCCCATCAGATTTCACATTTAATCTCATGTATTCCTTTGTGTTAAATTTCCAGCTATTGTTGGGTTCTGTCCTATATTAGACTGAAACCTTGCAGCATGGTCCCATTTCTTTCCCTGGTTCAGCGGACTAATTTACTGTGATCTGAAAGCCTTTCTTTTATGAAATTTCTCTTTCCTGCTCTTACTCCCTGAAATCAAGAATAGGGAAGAGAGCTGTTCCCATGACAAACCCCTAAGTCCCAGGCTGAGCAAAGAAGGGGGAAGAAAGATGTAACATGGGAACTATGGGAACCAGCTGGGATGAGTCTGGAACCTCCCTCCCTGTGTTCAGTCCAGCCACACCTCTTCCTCTCCAGGGATAAACTGGGGGCAGGGACTGGGATGGGGGGTGGCTGGCTGTCAGGTGTCAAGTTTGCAGCAGAAGCCTGACCCACGTTATGCTGATTGGTTGGTTCCCCATGATGCCATGAAGAAATGCTCCCGGCTCCAACTCTGGAGCAGCCTTGCACTTTAAAAATGTTTCCTTTGTTCTAACTGGTAAGCCCATGAGTGAGCATGAGTGCAGCAATCTTAAAAATGAAAAGAGAAGAGGAAGGCTGGGGAGCAGACAATACTGATGACGGAGTTGGCATTTGATTTGCTGCTGTTCACATTTCAGTTGTGAATCTGGGCTTACCCCAGAGTTGAGAGAGATGTTGCTAATTTCTCCTCATTGCTATGCCTCTCATCGCCCAAAATACTGGTGATTTTGTCTTCCTTTTCTCTTGCCTGTCATGGGCTGAGGTGTAATCAGGACTCTGTCTATTCTGTAAGTCTACATGCAGAATGCTAGGTAAGACATGCTAAATTCAGCAACCTGGGAATTTAATCCCTCATTCCAATTCCTAGTTCCTGTTGCAAATATAGGCTTGAAAGTCTGTACATATATCCTCCTCCTCTCCCTCCCTCCCAATATATACATCCCTTGTCCTGCCTTTAATGAGAAGGATAAATTGTGCCCAGTAGGTAAATATGGGCACACTTCCTTTCTTAGCCTAACATATATAGGTTATAGACCCCATATTTTCTTTTCTAAAAATGCTGATTTGTGTCTTTTTTTAAAAAAAGTGTAAAAGCGAAGATGGAACACACCTTTGTCTCAATAAGAAGCTCCACATTTCTCTATTATCAGCTCTATTATCAGAGAGAATTTGCTTTAGCTGGGCACTTACATACACTTTCCAGAGTTGTGTTGTTCCTGAACTCTCATCATCATACCTGCAAAGGTGTATCTGTGCTTCCAGCTAGGTTTGGTAACACTAGGAAAGTGTCTGTACCCCTCTGAGAATGTAGAGTCTTTCAGGGGCAGGTTAACCATTCAGATGTTACTGGAGCTTGTCAACAGGCCTTGCAGAGTACTAGTGACTTCTGAGTATCTTCAACCCATTGCAAGTCCCTGTACGAAGCTGCTTCTCAGTCCCTCTGCCCTCTCTTGTTTTCTGGCCCGTGTGAGCCGCCTGCCAAGTGTCTAAGTCACAGCACAGCCAGCACTGCTCTCTCCCTCCCTGTGCCTCAGCCAGCCATCTGAGCTGCTAATGCTCTCCTGGTGCAGGGCTGTTTACCCAGCAGCAAGGAGATTATATATCAAAGGGGACAGAGCATACAAGCCTGCAATCCCCTCTGCAAACAGGCTTAGAGAGACATCCATTCACAGGAGGAAGAGGGTGCCTGGACTGTGCCCAGCCAGGTCTGCAAAAACCACTTTCCAGTAAAGGTGCAAAGCCAACATATGGGCTGAGCAAGCCCTGCCCACTGCCATCGCTGTGCCATGCACAAAGTGCCTGGGTTTTCCCTACCATTAAGGAAGGCCTGGCCTCTGGCCTCTTGCCAGCTTCCTGCCGAGGCTTCTCTCAGGGAGGGGCAGCAGCCGCAAGTCGAACAGGTGCTCTCGTCTTGGCAAGGGAAGCCGGATTCTTCTCCTGGTGCCTTTTCATCTTCCCTGCACGCAGGCTGATTTGAATAGGCTTTGGTCTGCAGGGGATCACAGGCTCCCCGGAGCCCTGCAGCAAGGGCAGTTCCAGGCGAGGGCTGGGAGGCGCTTTCAGGCAGGGGCCTTGGAGAGGCAGCAGCCCTGCCATGACGAGAGACGGGGATTAGAGCACAGCGGATGAGTTTCTCAGGCAGATGGCAACGCCCAGCCTCACATCAATATTGATTCACCAGTCCTAAGTGCTGCCTACCGACTCTCCCAAGAGATTCAAGTGTCCCAGGAGACTTTCTTACACATGCAGGAAGATGACCAGCATTTGGCTGGGTTCAGCTAATTGAGGCTGTGGAAGGCGGGCGGCAGGCAGCAGCATTTTCTTGGCTGCTGCAGGCTTCTGTAACATGGAGCCAGGGATGCTGATGTACCCCATTTCTTGGAGCATCAGAGAACACAGGAAGTTGCCTTCCTGTGGTCAGGCCATTGGTCATAGAATCATAGAATCATAGAATCATAGAATCATAGAGTTGGAAGAGACCACAAGGGCCATCGAGTCCAACCCCCTGCCAAGCAGGAAACACCATCAGAGCACTCCTGACATATGGTTGTCAAGCCTCTGCTTAAAGACCTCCAAAGAAGGAGACTCCACCACACTCCTTGGCAGCAAATTCCACTGTCGAACAGCTCTTACTGTCAGGAAGTTCTTCCTAATGTTTAGGTGGAATCTTCTTTCTTGTAGTTTGGATCCATTGCTCCGTGTCCGCTTCTCTGGAGCAGCAGAAAACAGCCTTTCTCCCTCCTCTATGTGACATCCTTTTATATATTTGTACATGGCTATCATATCACCCCGTAACCTCCTCTTCTCCAGGCTAAACATGCCCAGCTCCCTTAGCCGTTCCTCATAAGGCATCGTTTCCAGGCCTTTGACCATTTTGGTTGCCCTCCTCTGGACACGTTCGAGTTTGTCAGTGTCCTTCTTGAACTGTGGTGCCCAGAACTGGACACAGTACTCCAGGTGAGGTCTGACCAGAGCAGAATATAGTGGCACTATTACTTCCCTTGATCTAGATGCTATACTCCTATTGATGAGGCCCAGAATTGCATTGGCTTTTTTAGCTGCCGCGTCACATTGTTGGCTCATGTCAAGTTTGTGGTCAACCAAGACTCCTAGATCCTTTTCACATGTACTGCTCTCAAGCCAGGTGTCCCCCATCTTGTATTTGTGCCTCTCATTTTTTTTGCCCAAGTGCAATACTTTACATTTCTCCCTGTTAAAATTCATCTTGTTTGTTTTGGCCCAGTTCTCTAATCTGTCAAGGTCGTTTTGAAGTGTGATCCTGTCCTCTGGGGTGTTAGTCACCCCTCCCAGTTTGGTGTCATCTGCAAATTTGATCAGGATGCCCTTGAGTCCATCATCCAAGTCGTTGATAAAGATGTTGAATAAGACCGGGCCCAAGACAGAACCCTGTGGCACCCCACTAGTCACTCTTCTCCAGGATGAAGAGGAACCATTGATGAACACCCTTTGGGTTCGGTCAGTCAGCCAGTTACAAATCCACTGAGTGGTAGCATAGTCAAGACCGCATTTTACCAGCTTCTTTACAAGAATATCATGGGGCACCTTGTCAAATGCCTTGCTGAAATCAAGGTAGACTACATCCACTGCGTTCCCTTCATCTACCAGGCTTGTAATTCTGTCAAAAAACGAGATCAGGTTAGTCTGACATGACTTATTTTTCAGAAATCCATGCTGACTATTGGTGATCACAGCATTCCTTTCTAGGTGCTCACAGACTGTTTGCTTAATGATCTGCTCCAGAATCTTCCCTGGTATTGATGTCAGACTGACTGGGCGGTAATTATTTGGGTCCTCTCTTTTCCCCTTTTTGAAAATAGGGACAACATTTGCCCTCCTCCAGTCTGCCGGGACTTCGCCTGTTCTCCAGGAATTCTCAAAGATGACTGCCAGTGGTTCTGAAATCACATCTGCCAGTTCTTTTAATACTCTTGGATGCAGTTCATCTGGCCCTGGAGACTTGAATACATCTAGACTAGCCAAGTATTCTTGTACTATCTCCTTAGTTATTCTGGGTTGTGTTTCCTCTGCTGAATCATTTGCTCCAAATTCTGGTCCATTTAGTTTAGTGGCTCTCCCAGCTTAGCTCCCACCCCAAGCCACTACATCTTTATTTACCCTCTTGCAAACATGCATCCAGTACATAGTGGGAAGCAGAAAGGCTTAAGGCATTTTTTCTCCACCCCAAGTTGTCTCCTATCAATACTGCTTTGCATCAAGGAAGCAGGCCATCAGGATTTCATTCTACACAATTGCACAATTTCCATGAAGACACAATGGAAAGACAGCAGCAAGGGTGCTTGCTTTCAGCTCCCCCCTCCAGACACCTCAGTGGGATTATGTGTTAGATTTTCTATGAGGCATCCCTCAGAAGACGACAGCTGCATAGGCACCCTTGTTACAAGTGGCCGAGATCATGTAGCTCCTTCTAAGCAAGAAAACAAGCAATAGGAGCATGTAAAAGGTAATCAGTTAACATAACTGAGTACCCGCAAATCCCATTGTTTTGGGAAAGAGATTGACCAGCATCACCTTGACTTAACTGCATGTTCTCAAAGGGATGTATCATCCACTCTGCAGAAGGCTCTATTTGCATTATGAACTTAAGTGTTCAGCTGAAAAGCACACACACACAATGGACATAGAAGTTGTCAAGTTCCTATGGCATATGGATGACAGCAGTTTTTGCTGAAGTATCAGGCTGATCTTCACCTTGTTGCTTTTTCCTCCTCCAGGTGCTCTCCCAGATAAGGCAGACCTGCTGCTTGACCCACATATGGATCAGGAACTGGAGAAACTGTAAGTCCCTTTTCCAGTGGAGAAAGCAGAGTCAGGCAACATGTCCCTCTAGCTCAGTAGTCTACTCTGCAGTGCCTCTTCCTTCAAGGACATTTCCACCCCTGTCTGCAGGGACTGGACCCGACACCTTCCGTTTATAAAACATGCATTTTGCCCCTGAGCTACAGGCACAGGTTATGCAGCATGACTCCTCTTTGGATCCGTCTCAGCTCAGTGGTGCAGTTGATGAGACGGCAAATTGCCTTTTTAAGCAGTTACTGCTAATTGACATGGAGGACTGGAAGATTTTCCAGCCCAAGTCTAATCCCAACAAACAGGACCTGTGCAAGAGTGCAAAAGGTGTCTCACACAGCAGTTTGGCTAGCCACCTTAAAAGAGACCCAGAGGCTTCTAACTAAGGAGGCAGCCTTAGCTGTGCAAGTCAAGAGTCCTGTCACTTAAACAAGAGCAGTTTAGGAAGTGGAAGCTATATGCCAGCAGAGGAAGCTCTTGGCTTGTTGCAAACATAAAGTCTTCCATGCGGCAGAGGAGCCCTCTTGACGGCAACTTGTGAGCCACATCCCTTCCCCCATGTACTAGTGCACAAGATTCTGCAATGACAAATCTCTCAGTGCCATTTTTCTTCTTGCAGGGTAGCTCAGGTTTCCGGACTCTCCCTTTCCAATTCCAACCCTGCCAGCGGGGATGCGACTAATGTGCCTTCCCGCCCCTCTCTCCGACTCAGCTCCCCTTGGAGGCCTCTCCTCCACCGCCGGAAAATGGATGCGGAAAGCGATGGCTCCACCGAAGAGACAGATTCCTCTGAGAACTGATGGGTAGATATGCATGGGAGTACAAGCTTATTTCCAGCCCTTGTAACTGAAGCCATGTAGGCGTTGATGAAACATAGCTGTTTAAGCACCTTCCTCCACAATCTCAACGTGTGACCTACTCCTTTTTACTCTTTATCAGTATTATAGCTCAGAGCTCCCTCTCAGCAAGGCACACCCCATTCTAACAAAAACTGTTGTTTTCTCCTCATACTGGCAGAGAAATTGGATGGATAGGCCATGAAAGCTGACATCAGCTGCAGGGTTCGACTGCCCTCTGGTGGCAAACAAGTCAAATTAGCAGAAACGTTCTAGCACTAGGGCAAGTAGTAGCTACCTTTGAAGAATCAATTCTAATCCCAAAACTATGCACTGTGAAACATTTTCATCCTCATCCAAGGATAGGAAATATACAAGATGAAGCCTGTAACTCAAAGCACTCTTCTTGTCCTCACGAAATTTATTTTACTTTCTCCTCCTGTATATGCCCTATCTGCTAGACGGTTAGGTATTCCAATACCTTCCAAGCTTTCACTTCAAAATTCAAACAAGTTAGTAAGACATGACCCCAGTTAAGTCACCAGATTTGAAATTTGGGGCTAAGCTTCCATACTTTGTGGGATGGCCATTGCCGATGAGCATTTTCAAATGCTTACTGGGCTCTATTGTAGGAGAAAGGAGTAGGGCATTATTTATTAATTTGCAAAGCTTTAAACTTTCCTGCAAACAAAGTATAATATATAGTAAATAAAGCATGTTGTAAAAGGCAAGTAATGTGTCTGAGATTCATTACAACCTTGAGGGAATGCGAAAGGTGACAATCCCGCTCAAAACTCCACTGAATCATTGGTAAGTGTCTTCCTAGGGAAGGTACAGTTTTTTAAAAAACAGTGTATTAATCAGAAGGTGTTTCAAATCAGCTCATTTTTCATAAAGAAAAAATCAACACAAATTGGTAATCCTTTAAGGCTGCTTTCACACCCAGACTGTGTCCTCTTCACACCTCACCTGAAGTCTGCTAACTTCCCTTCCTAGCCCATGGCATAGAAAAGGGAGTAGCTCTGCCTGCCCCAGTGTCCCTGGGGTCCATCGGCTACATCTGAATTAAAAAAAGGGAGTCACAGAAATGGAACACACACGTATTTGATTTTATTCACTTGGGGTGGGAGGGAGAGAATCCATACCACTCCCCTTTGGACCCCCACACACAGCAGAGGCCCAGCCTTGGCCACAACAAAGCTCATTAACACTACCGTTTTAACTCAAAGTACACAGACAGCCCAAGAAGAGAACCCTCTTCCAGTCGAGAGCACACCAGGCCAAACCAAAGCTCTGCAAACTCCTGGCCTTGGAAAGGAGCACTTTAAGACAAATTTGCAATAATCAAAGTTAAAACATCAGTGCATTTTCAGAACCCAGGGAGCAAAAAATGAGAAGTGGAGCAGACCCAAGGGGGCAGGGAAGAGATTTCCAGTAAGCCCATGCAGCCATTTACCTTCTTGGGGAAGTGTGCAAGGAGAAAGCAGGTCAATTGCACTGATGAATATGCAGATATGGAAATAGGCAAGATGTTGCTCCATCGTAAAGTGGGTCCTCAAGCTACCCTGATAAACCTCATCTCTCTCTCTAGCAAGAGCATCTTATTGAAACCAAAGTCATCATTCCAGTGTACTCTTAGTGGTTGATTTCCCAGTGAAGAGCGATTAGACAGACTTGCTACCTTAACAGAATGTACAATGGGCACGACGCAAGTCTTCAGATGAACCCACAGCTGCAACAGCAACTATCATGCAAGGTAAATGTAAAATGGTTACAACAGCAAGCACCGCTTCACGTGGATTGAGTTTCCTAGTGTGATGAGGAGATTCTTCTTCCAACAGAAGAACATAAACCAAGGCGGGGGGAAAGGCATGCAGATGCAAGAGGGGGCTTTGTGGCAGGATACCTTCTGCCCTGAACATCAAAGCAGCATTATGGGATGGAAGAGAGCACTTTCATCTGCTCCTGTTCTTCATCTACACCAGCAGAACTGTAACTGGAGTCATTTAAGAAAGAAAGAAACCCAGAAAGCTGGGCTAGAAGGAGCAAAGGGGCAGCAGTGAAGCTTCGACAAGGGGAAGCCGCTTTCCTTGAAACTACTTCCTTTCCCCACGTGCAGCACAGATGGGGCCATGATATTCAGGTAGATCTCGCCGGGGAAGGGAGGCCAGCAACAGCAGTGGTTGCACAAACAGCACCAGAGCCAGTGGACTGAGCGGCCACTGCCCTGTTTTGTTAGCAGTTTCCATAAAGGTCTGAAAGGAAACCAAGAGGGCACCAAGGAGACAAGGCAACGGGTTATATGAAACATAAGCAGGCCCAATAACCTCTTCATTCCTCAACTGAAGATGCTCTCTTCTCAACAGCATCAACCCACGGTTCAGGGTGTGTGTGTCAGGGTAAGAAATGTACGTTTCCCCAGCTGTCCAGCATATTTGCGTAATATTGCAAATATCTTGCACAAGCCCACCCAAGCATGCCTTGATCCTTCGCGGCTTGCTACAGATGGAGGCTTTTAAGTTGCTGCTCTCAAAAAGGGATCTAATTATATCACATTGGTTCAAGGCACGGTCAGTAAGAATGACCTTGTGCCAAAATCGGAACTTCCCCTGTTCTAGAAGACAGTCTAGGTCCTGGGGATTCCCCACCATTCCCCTGTTTACTGCCATTTCCCTTGGAAGAGTTTCAAACACAGCTTGCTTCTCCCCTCAAACATATTCTGCTAATAACAGCCAGGGGCTGGGGGAAGTGGAAACAGCAGCAGCAGCACAGAGGTCAATTGGCAACCCTTGTGCAGTGCGCAGCAGCAGCGGGGGATTCTCTGGAAGGGCCAATATTCCGTTAGCTCAAGGTTGGGGTCATTTCAAATAGAAAATAATGTCCAGAGAGTTTTTGAGCAAGTGCCAGGCATGTCCATTTCTCCTTCTCTCCTCAAGAAGCCCCTAGCCATGCTCGGCTAAAAAGCAATCCTGTTCAATTCTTCCAGGTGGACTCAAGGTGCAATTGGTGTTTCGCTGATGGCCACAAGCTGCAAAGTCTCTCCTGAATCCTCAATATGAGCCATAGCGATCCTAAGAGGTGGGAGAGGGAGGACAGAAAGAGGCAACTTAGCACATTGCCCACAGAAATGATGCCATATTTCTCAGCACCTGAATACAGCAACTAACCCCCCCCCCCAAACAGTTAAAACTTCAGGCCAAATATCAGGACATAAAAGTGCTTGCTGGATCAGGTCCATGGCCCATCTAGTGCAGCATTCTGTTCTATAATGGCCAACCAGATATGGGGAAACCCGCAAGCGGATATGACAAAAGCAAGCCCATCCTACTAAGCTCTGAATAAGAGGCTTATGAACCATGTAAAAGGTTACTTTTGCTGGCAGAGAATTTCCATGCTGCCATCTCAGATCATGCAACATCTCCACTGTAAGCAAGGAGCTGCTCTCCCCAATAACATGAGAAAAGAACTGGCTGTAGCCCCTGTCATCCCATCATTTGACAAAAGCAGCTCCTTGCACAGGAGCATTAGGGGAACAACCCAAGTGTGTAAGCAGGTGAGCTTGAGGTTTGAACACACAGCGTTAAGTCCGTCCTAACTTCTGTTCCAGAACTACAAAGTATAAAAACACCAGTTACTTTGCATATCTTTGCATCATCAACCTGTGTCCAAGTAGCTTTGCAAAAGCTGGGAATTTAAATTTAGCATACATGGTAAGGGAATTTATTATCTTCTAGTGGACTGACCTGTTAGCTGCTTTAGGAGTGTTGTAAACTTTTTGACCCCTACATGAATGAGAATGAAGCAAAAGCCACAGACATCACACATGGCTTCCAGAATTGTAACCTTCGCTATCGGAGTTTGAACCCTGCGTGAGGCATTTAGAGCCTCTTGCCATGACTACACAACAGGCGTGCTACCTCACCTGAAGGGAATTCATCACACCATTGGCTAGAACAGCCATCTTGCCAGCAACAGACTTCACTCCTTGCTTGAACTGGGCAATATCAGCAGCAGGCAGTACATTTCCAATTGAAACACTACCTAGAGACGGAAGGAAAACAACACCATCAGAGAGTTCTGCTGTATGAGGAAGATGCTCATCTCATGGAAGAGGCCTTGCTGGCTGAGATCCTAGGTTGGGAAATCCACTATGAGATCCTGTAACCCTGAGTCAGATATGTAATCTGCTCAGTGATTTGACACTCAAGTCAGCTGAGCCCATCCCTTTCTGAGTAATAGGTGTTAAGGGCCACACCAGCCCCTTGGTGACAGAAGAAAACCCGTCTCTCAAGTTGTTTGCTGACATACCCGAGTTCCCTGTCTCAGACTCTCCAAACAGATCAGCAGAGCTGATGGCATTGCTGCCAGAGAGTTGTTGGAGTCGGGATCTGGCCTCATACTGGAAAGAGAAAACAAAATAAGACGCAGGAAACAGAGGCTGGTGATTGCCAGGTGATGGGTGGGAACAGCTTGAAGACAGAGAAATCATCCAGCACTTGCCTCAGCATCAGCTTCCCGCCCAAAGAACATGTCGGACGAGATGGCTTTGGCCCCAGCAAACTTCTGTCGAGCTTCACTGGACTCTACTACTGAGATCTTGCTCTCTGTCTCTCTTCTGTTGGTGGGTCTGAATGGAGGAGAAAGGAAAGCACTGTAACAGCAATCCATAGTGCACAGGCATTCGGCCATGGCGAGAAAGTGGAACCGCATCTGTTCAACTCCAAGTTAGTTGGATGTCATAAGCCCCCTCAGCTAACAGCTATGACATACACTGGATTGATTCACACAGCACATTAAACCATAGCTGAAACCCAGCCAGTTTTAAATGAATAAGCAGTGTGTCATGTTGCAGGCTGTTCCAAAGTTTCCACAGCACTCTTCCCGTTCCTGATGTGCCACAGTCAACACCAGGCAGAGTTGGGTATCTTTCCCCCGAAGAAACCACAAGTAGCTAGCCAAGAACAAACCCTTGTTACTGCTTGTGGTTTGGAGACAAATTTCAGGCCATGACCCAGAAGCTACAAGAAGCCAAACTCTGGCTTGTTTTGTCCACAGAACAGCAGAAGCAGGAGAAGGCAGGGAGTGCAGTGAGAACCTTTCAGCAGCACGCTTAAGGCACATTGCTTGTTCACATTAAGCCACAGGTTTAGTGAATCGTTTTTCTAAACTATGGTTTCTGCAGTGTGTAAACCTGGTCACTATTTTCCTCAGTTAAACAAAGACAAAAGCCCCCTACTCTCAGCAGCAGCAGAGCGACCATCACTCAAGCAACCAGCATTTCTCAGTGGCTTAGTCAAAGCATTGCTCTGAGATTCATTCATATTGATTGCAAATGTTGTTGTTATTACATTTATGCCCCACCTTTCCTCCTGGGAGCTTCGGGTGTCACATTAGGTTTCTCTCCCTCCCTGTTTTATCCTAACAACCACCCTGTGGGATAGGTTAGGCTGAGAAACAAGGTCACCTAGGGCAGTGTTTCCCAACCTTAGGCCTCCAGCTGTTTTTGGACTACAACTCCCATCATCCCTAGCTAGCAAGACCAGTGGTCAGGGATGATGGGAATTGTAGTTCAAAAACAGCTGGAGGCCCAAGGTTGGGAAACACTGACCTAGGGAGCTTCATGGCTGAGTGGAAATTTGAACCCTCATCTCTGAAGTTTAGTCCACCAGACCACAATACGATGCCATTTTGAAAGTGCTTGAGGCAAAATGCCTTGGGAAAGCCTATGAGG